ATAATGAAGAACCTCTATGGATGTCGCGTTGCCAGACTGCTACTTGTGAAATCCCAGTGCTACTATATTTTTAGCAAACATACTGAACTGTTATGCAATATCAGTCCGTCAACATAGCAGTGAATGTGGGACAAAAAATGGACAGAACATGTGAGCAACAACAAAGTTTTAGAGAAAAACTGAACAAAAAGGACACCAGGAAGAGACAGTTGAAAATACCAGGATACATAACGAGGAAAAGGGGTTTGGAAAATGTGATACTCACAGAACAGAATGAAGGCAAGAGAATAACAAAGGATAACCTATCTAGCTGGCTTGAGGAAATGGATGACGGAACAAGTTTTAGGAGATATAACAAAAAGACAAAAAAGTAAGAGCTACAAAGTACAGGAAATTGTGGACAGCCATGAATGCCAACGTCATGAAGGAACAGGACATAGAGAAGAAAAAAGATTTTCTTTAAAATCTGGGATGTTTCAAATAAGAGTTGCGCTTTTATTTCAAATGCAACCAAATTCGCTTCTCTGAAGTTAATATGGTAATGTAGTTCGGCAGTTGTAAACGCTTCATAATAAAGAAATATTAATACAAAACAAAAACACAAAGAGTTAAAAGGGGAAGGAATAGAAGAGTAAAAAGAATCTTAGAAAGATAATAATGGTAAAGAATTAAGAAAAGAAGATAGAATAATTCAGAAATAGAAGGCGTGATGGAATAACTTGAAGGCAAAAAGAGGAAGATAATAAATAGAGGAAAAGAGAAAAGAAAAAATGATGGAAAACAAAAATGGAGGAAATTAAAGGAAAAAAAGAAGTAAAAGAAGAAACAAAAATTTCCGTTGGGAAGAAAAAGAAAGAGAGAAAACTAAAAATAATATTTGAAGGAAGAGAGAAAATAATTGGAAAGACCGAAAAAAAAAAGAGAGGAGAAATAAAATAAAAGACACAATACAGAAATATAAAAGATGATGATGAAGGTGGAACAGATTAATTTAAAGAACCAACTGGAAAAAATAGGAAGAAAATAATTGACGAGGAAAAATAGTAGAGAAGCCTAAAAAGAAAGAGGTGAAAAGAAAAGGAAGATGATATATTAAAATTTGGGTGGAGAGATGAGAAAGAGAAAGAAATGAATTTAAAAAGTGAACTTGAAAGAGAAAATAAAGTGTAAGCGAAGGAAGAGAAAACATAATTTAAAATATTGAAAAGAATGTGGTGGAATGAAATGGAAGACTAAAAAGGAAAAAAAAAAGAATATAAGACAGACGTAAAAAAAAGGAAATGGTAGCACAAAAAAAGGGGAAGCTAATATATTTGAAGAAAAGATGTAAAAAATAAGAAGTGAAAAATAGGATCAAAAGAAGAAATCTTTTTTAAATTATAGAAAGAAAATGAAAAATGACGACGTGGAAAAATGTTGATTTTGAAAATCAAGGAAAAGAGAAGAAAACTGAAAATGTGTGTGCGTGTGTTCATTGCCTTAAATATAGTAAGGAGGCTCTTTCTATGTCATAGAGACATTAGTCAACCTTAAGATGGCGGAAAGTTGTTGAAGGGGCGGTTGCACTTTTCCGGTGATTAAATCGGTGAAGTCTTATATCACAGAGGTGTGTTTCTGTCTAGGCCGCCGTCCCAATATATTTTTTCGGTTGGGGGGGGGGACTTTGCGTGCAAATACACTTGAATAAAGTTTTTCGCCCCAATACACTTAGGAGTCACATAAATTCGACAACTCTGTGAACCTTAGAAAAATATTTGGAGGTGAAGACGTTTTTGAAGAGGCGATAAGAAAAGAGCTACACTCCGTCAAGGAGCAAGTAATAGAGAAGACTTCACATAAGCGAGAAAACAAGCAAAACAGAAGAAAAAAACATAGAAGCAAAAAACAGAGAAATCAGAAGAATATGGGAACAGAGGGAAAGGTACTCTTTCGTGGTCAACTAAGGTGGTTTTCCAAACTCCTCGGTACGAGGTCACATCGTGTATATGACGTAAGAATTCGGACTAGGGAAGGGCGAATCTACTTAATGCTAAGGGTCATACACACGGCTTTTACAGACAAAATTGGGAACATGTTATTAGACTATGACGTTCATGTCAAGCCCTGAGATTATTATGCAGAGAACAAAGTCAAAAAGCTTTCTAGAGATACCAACAAGGCCTATAGAATAAAACAAAAGGATACATATTTGCGTATTATCAACATGATCAAAAGGATTCCAAATCATCCGACGAAAACCTCACAATAGAAAAATATTCTGAGCAAAACAAGACAAACTAGATCGATATCTCCAAGAGAAAGTAACATATCAAGATTTCAGGAAGGAAAGTAAACAAATCTTATATAGTGTGACTTGGGTGTGACACAAAACCGCAAGTATATGGCACACACAATGAAAAAAAGATTTAATTTCCTCTAGAGTTGCGATTTCCCAAGCGTAGTTTAGATGTGGCATGGGACAGCTAGTAAGGAACGAACTCACTACACATTGGTAACAGTGGGCCCTTAGTCATTTTCCAAGCATAGCTTAGATGTGGCACAAGGCCGAAAGTAGGGGCACCCAGTGAGAATCGAACTCACTACTCAGTCGCAATTGTTCTAGCGAGACAAGCTTGCTAACCTTTACACCACCTAGAGGTGCCCAAAATGATTTTTCTAAGCGTAGCATAGATGTGACACAAGGCCGAGAGTATGGGGCACCCGGTGAGGATCGAACTCACTATTCAGTCATAGCTGTTTTAGCGAGATAAGCTTGCTAACCATTACACCACGCCGAGGTGCCCAAATTTACTCTAGAGTAGTGATTTTCCACGCGTAGCTTCGATGTGTCACAAGGCCGAAAGTATGGGGCACCCGGTGAGGATCGAACTCACTATTCAGTCGTAATTGTTAGTTGCGAGATAAGATTACTAACCATTACACCACATCGAGGTGCTCTAATTTACTCTAGAGTAATTGGTTTCGCGAGATATGATTGTTAGACATTAAAAAAACCTTCGAAGTGTGCCAAGGAAACATCTACAACAGGATACGCCACAACGTTCTGAGGAGGCAATGATATACTAGCATGTGTAAGATTGTTTAAATTAAATATCAGAAGGGGAAAAATACGAGGGTAGGCTGAAAATTTTATAGGCTAACAATAAAAGAGTGATGCTAGAACTGTGAAATGTTGCATGCATTGATATCAACTGTGTAGTTTCTTTTCAGGTAGATTGATATCTGACTGTTCAAAGAAGACTTCAAATGTAACTAGTAGCGACTTCTCTTGATGAGGGGTAAAAGTTTTCATCGTGGTGTTATCAAGAAAAAGGTTGTTACCCATAAGCACATTCATACTGACATGGTTGCCACATTAGTAGATGACGTTTCAGCTTTATCAACAGTGCAAACTTAGGCAGCTGAATTTAAGATGGAAGAGGAGAGAATTTAATATGACCCAATATCTGGGCGTCTTTCAACTGTTACCACAGGTAAACATTGATCGTGTTCAACACATAGTGACAGATGTCAGGAGATTAAATCCAAATAGCCAATGCTATTAGCATATCTTGTGAGAGAGTTACGAATATACAGCGCAAAGAACTTAATATGTCGAATGCTTCTGCTCGCGTTCCACTATTTCCGACACCTGATCAAAATGGCTCTGGCTGATCACATCACGTGAAAATCGTTTGAGACATATCCAGCTAGTTTCCTTGAACGTTTACAAAACCAGGATGACTGTTGGATTCATCAGTTTGAGTCAGAGAAAAAGAGATCATTCATGCAAGATACACCTGCTCCAATGAAGGGTAACTTCATTTCAACTGCAGCGAAGTTGATGGCATCAGTTTGCTTGGAGGAAAAAAAGGGCATTGTATTCATTTACTATCTCCAAAAGGTCTAGACCAACAATGGAGAGTACTATGCCAACTTTCTAAATGCTATCAAACAAAATGCCCAGGAAAACTGAGGAAAGGCATCTTGTTTCACCAGGACAGTGTCTCAGCGCACAAGTCCTTTGTTTCACTGTGCGTAACGATGTCGTTAAACTGGTTGATCACCACAACCCGTTCTCCTAATTTGGTGCAATCTGACGCTCACTCCTTCACCAACATTAAATAACACTTCTGTTGGGGACCAGTATCGCAATCATGATGACGTCATATCTGCTGTTGATGACTTTTTACCAACAGGCCCCAAGTACATCAACACCGATGGAAGAATTATGTGGACTGCAACGAGAGATATATGGAAAAATAAACCTCATTTGGTTTAATTCTTATGAACTTCCCACTCGGCCCTCGTAAAATGCCGCCTAGGAGAATTAGAAAGAACTGCTGTCGCTGATATCACTTTCATAGATGGACTAAGTGACTTGTGAAGACAACCGATACAGCTTAAACATATTACCAAATATATTTTAAACATTTTATGTTTTAGTATTTCTAAGATGAATAATTGTCAATATCCTTCTTGTATTCTTTCGAACTGATATTGCTCCCATATTGGCTGATGTAGATGTTTCAACCAAGTACACACTGGTCAGCCTCATGTATCTATTGATTTGTTGATATCTGTTGAATATTGTCATATTTCCTCCTTGTGATCTCAGATATTGTTCGTTCTTGCTGAATTGGTGCTTCACTACCTAATCCAAGGACTGAACTTATGACCACCAAAAGACAGTAACACATTTATAAGCAACTTCTATGTGAACTGTTTCGAATGACATCGAAACAGTTCATATGGGAATATGAACAGTCTTTTATTTTAGATGGTTTTTAACTCTTGGCTATGATGGCTGGTTCCGACCGTTTTTCATAATTTAATATTTCATAAAAAAATTATACATTTTCGCCGGTAACAAATAAACAATTTTTAAAAAATAAATAAATGAATACAATTGTAATAAAATTATTCATATTTGGAACGTTTATTTTAGCTAGCATGATTCAGAAATAAATTTTTAAAAAAGTGATCATTTTAAAGAACCAAAATCTTTGGCTTGGGTGGATATGAACCACCAGCCATCGTCTGGAGACGTCCGATCTAGTATAGTACTAGAGGCGATTCTTAGGGATATGTTGGAGAAAAAGGCCGACCGAAGATCATCTCCTCTGCAATCAACTATATGACAAGAGATAAAGTGTAATCCCTGAGCGCACTAAATGAATACGGACTAACTGCAGATTGTATTCAAACTTGTTTCACTTCTTTCCAGTGATTTTAATTCTCAGGTCATAAGACTCTATTAACTAACCACTATATGAGATTCAAGATGACATGTCTCTGAATATTTTATGAATATTTCAAGAAATCTAGAACAAGGAACTCAAACGTGGAATATCTAATGCGAAACGAACGTACAATAATAAAAACGTCTACCAAAACAAGCACGTTAATCTTATTGAGAAAACTACGTAGGGATTTTCTAAGCATAGAATAGATATGACAAAAGGCCGAATGCGTAGAGTAGCCAGTGAGGATCGCACTCACTACTCAGTTGTAAATGACCTAACCAGATAAGCTGGTTAACCATGACACCACGTTGAAGTTCCAGTTTGAGACAACCATATATCGATGTATATACTGAGCTTATGCTGGTGCGCTTGATTATTTTGATGACAGAAGAAGGACGAAAAACACTGTTGGCCTCACCCCGAAACGTCTTGAAACGGAACGTCTTGGATTTTATATAATACAGGGCTTTTTAATAAGTAATTCAATTGATGACATAAGATCTGCGAAATTTTTTACTAAAAGGCAGTATAAATCCACCAGAGGAGAATTTCACACACATATCTATCATCGGAATATATTCCTTTTCACAACGGAAAGTGAATGAGTAGAAAACTCTCCTTGGTTTGGCAGTCAATGTCAAGACTTCAGAGGTATTCAAAGAGATAAAACTATGTTTTTTTAATATATTGATAACTGTATAATGTGCCTTTTCTACAGTTTAAAACGCTTTTCTCATTCAAGGTTGCTCTCTTTGATATTATTTTTCCTAACCATGTGATTGCCCATTTTAGCCTAATTGTGGCTGCATTAATACAATGTATCCAATGAGGATAGAATGCGCTATAGTAATAAGTATACGCGAGATTTACTTACTAGTCACTGCTCCCCATATAATTTTTTAATATTTTACCTTCTTGAAACAACTCACTAAATTAGCAAAATCTCCACAGTTTCTTCTTCTTCTTCTTCTTCTTCTTCTTCTTCTTCTTCTTCTTCTGCTTCTTCTTCTTCTTCTTCTTCTTCTTCTTCCAGAAGCCAAATATTTTACCTTCTTAAATTAGCAAAATCTCCACAGTTTCTTCTTCTTCTTCTAATTGCTTACGATCATGGCTCTCCATAACTTCCTATCCCTTGTAACCTCGAGGAAAGTTTTTTGTCCATCGTTCTTACCCACATTCAGCCATCCATTAACACAAGGTACGTGTCTTGCTGACTCACTTTTGATCTTTTGTCCTTCGATATGTCCAATTCTTCAAGCCATCCCACCAATAAATTTCGCCTGTATCTTTTTCGTTCTCAGTATAAGTATCCTTTTCGTTTCCATTTCCCTTAGAACCTACTTTCTGCTTCCGCGCTCCTTCCATGGTATTCTCAGCATCCTTCTGTAGAACCATATTTCAGTTGACATCCGTATTCATCTGTGAGGAAAGTGTCCAACATTCTCTATGATAAATTAGAACTGATATTACATAGCAGTTCAACATTCATTTCTTCTTCTTCTTCTTCTTCTTCTAAAGATGAACTGAAGACTTGAACCAACAGAAATGTATTTCTGCAGGAGGATGATGAGAATACTATATACTGAACATGTGAGCAATGACGAAGTTTTAGAGAAAATTGAAACATAATGAGGAAAGAGTGATTGGAAAATGTGATACTCACAAGACAGATTGAAGGCAAAAGGGACAGAGGAAAACAATGTATAAACAAGTGGCTGAGAAACGTTTAGGAATAATAGCAAAAAGACAAAATGTATTAAGTGCTTCTCAGCCACTTGTTTATACATTGTTTTCCTCTGTCCCTTTTGCCTTCAATCTGTCTTGTGAGTATCACATTTTCCAATCACTCTTTCCTCATTATGTTTCAGTTTATGAAAGGTTGAAGAACGATAATTGATGATTGTCTTGAATTGACACGGCATATACGAGAAGAAAAAAAAAAGCAGACTGCTTATGCATGGTGTCCAGCTTGGACTGAACTCAAAGTCTTCAGTTTTGCGAGGTTAGCTTGCTAACCATTTATTTATAGCGTAGAAATTGACTAAATTTAGTTCATGGCGAATGATATATTTTTTTCGTTTTGCTTCTTGCTTATTTTTCTGCACTCCCGCAAACGCCTACTTCGTTTCTACATTTCTTTTTTTTGCCTCTCGCAACCTTTTTATCAAATCGCATCATCCCCACTTTTTTTTTCTACTTTTGCTTTAAAGCACTTTCCATCTATCTCGCTCTATTCTGCAAAACGTGTTTTCCCTCTTCAAAGAATTTCTGGCAGCATGTCATCTAAGGAGAGAGAAAAAAAATGACAGACCATTCCTGCAAGAGCCGCGGGTCTTGCAATCATCTTATTGGTGCCGTAGGTGCCAATAACGAGTGAACGGAACAAATTGAAGGTCGTAACTCCCCGCCCCAAACATATAAAAATCCCCCAAAATAACTCCAATCACGGAGCCTGAAACAGTACTCGACCTTTTCTCTTTGCCACCCTTCGACTTTTCAATAGCATGTCAGGGGCACACGATCCCCACGAGGCAAAAAAAAAAACAAAAAAAAAAACAGTCAGTTTTATTTTATTTTTCGTTTTGTATTTCTGCTATTTCTCTTTTATTTATTTAGGGAGGTTGCCTAAGTTTGGCACAAGGCCAAACTTGTGGATCATCCAAAATTATTTACTAACCTTAGAAGCAAAGAAAAGAGAACTGAATTATTATATAATAGCAATCCTCCTATATGAGAGTGAACGCTGGACAATCTCCTCATAGATAAAGAAGAAACAAGAAGGAACAGAAATGCGATTCCACAAAAGGTTGCCGAGAATAACATGGACCGAACATGTGAGCAACGACGAAGATTTAGAGAAAATGGAAACAATTATAATTAATATCAGGAAGAGACGGTTAAAATTTATGGTGCACATAATAAGGAAAGAAGGCGTAGAAAGATTGATATTCACAGGATAGACTAAAAAAAAGGAAAGGACTCTGGAAAAGACGTATAACCTATATAGCGAACTTGAGTAAATGGATGGCGGAACAAGGTGTTGAAGAGATAAGAAAAATACTATACTCATTTAATGCTACAAAGGATATGGAATTGTGGAGACCCACGATCTCCTGAAGGTAAACACTCCATAGAAAAAGAAATAGTCTTACTCCTTCTTGTACTTTTAGTCGGAAGTAGAGTTTTATGTCTTGTTTCCTGTTTAGGATCGGGTTTCCGGTTCATCTAAAGTTTTCTTCAACACTATACGTCTAATGTCTTTCTCTGATATTTTTTGCATCAATAGAAGTGGATAGCTTGGCCTATCATCCAGTTCACAATCCTCCCTGTTTATTTGAACATGGATATAGGTTTATTCCTTGATCCCTGTCTTGGATCGTATTTCCATTTCCTTCTAAAATCTTTCCATTCTCTTTCACTCTCAGTAACCCCTTACGTCTTAGTGGCATTTTTGCATTGTTTGGAGCGTAGTGATTAAAGAAATATCAGACATAAGAAAACAGTAGATGCAATTTGATCACCTTGCTTTTTATTTTGTGTGTCTCGCCCTTTAAAAATCTGACCGGTCCTCCAGTTGTTTGCTGCTCTAAATGATTTCTAACCCTTCGACCTGCTTTTTTCTCAACCATCCATTGATTAAAATTCATTAAACTGGCTACTTCTCGTTTACCCTGCCTCTTATATATATATATATATATATATATATATATATATATATATATATATATATATATTCTTCACAGCTTATGGACAAATCACAGGGATACATGTTAAGCAATGTTGAGCCTGGTCAGTACCTAGATGAGTGACCACTTGAAAATACCTGGTGCTATAAGTTTGGATGTGCGGGTGGTGTAATTGATAATGGCTCGAAATTGTTTATTCCAGTTGGGTCTGTTATGTTCACTTACGCGCCAATACCCTTGGGAAACGTATGAATTCTCCTCTTCTGCCCCATCTATGGGTTAATTAGTAATATCTGTTTCACTAAATAATTATTATTTCAGGAAAGATTCTTACAATTTACAAAAATATTTTCTTGCTTTAAATAACCTGCAAATCTTTTTTATTAGCCGTAGAAAATGAACGAATGAATGAATGAATCAAATTCCCCAGGCCCTCTTTTTAAAATCTTTTTTATGAATGGAAATGACATTTTCTTTGGAGTTTCTATTTCTTGAAAACTTTCAAATTGCTTACACATTCTCTCAATTAGCCGACGAGACAAATGTTTTAAGATTCACACTAGGGTACACATTCAATATTGTATTATTCTTGAACCGTACTACGCAGTCGTTACTCATTACATTTACTTTTTGATCAATCCCCCCCCAAGCAAGGCAATAAAGCCAATAAGATTCAAGGGATCACTGAGTGTCAAATGAGAAAAAGAAAAACTATTATTAACAAAAGAGAACAGTAAAAGAACAAGAATTAAGAAGACAAACGATAACGATTGACATTGCATTTAAATTTGTCCAGATCAAAGTCGTCTGCAAAGCAAGAAGCCGGAAGAAACCGAGCTAGAAGTACGAGAGAGGAAACTGTTAACATAGAACTTACGGTTACAGTTAGCCATTTCAATCGTAAAATTGATGATACCTAGCTTCCACTCTAGTACTGCGCTTAAATTCTTGAAGTCGAGTATCGAAGATAGAAACTCGTCCGAAAAGTTAGTATGACAATTTATAAAGAGAAAGAACAGAGAAGCTGCATTTCGACGGTGTGATAGTGACTAAAGCAGATATGCCAGGTCAAGTTCGTTAACACTGTAGATTCTTTGGATTTCATTAATGATCTCTAAATATATAGCAGTAGCAGCAGACCAGATGTGACAGTAATATTCAATGCACGAACGAATGGTCGCTTTATAAACGTGCAAGAAAGATTCTGGCCGGGAGAGCTGACTGGTACTGCACAGTGAACCAGCTTTCCTAGATACAGACTTAACAGTTGATTCAATATAAACCTTTCGGTTCATATCAATAGAAAATGTGATCCTGATCAGGTCACTCACCTGGAGGTCAGCATCAGCCATACTGATGGAAGGCAACGTGGATCTTTAAGGTAGAAGTTTCTTTCTGGAGGCGTTATATTTTACATGCCATTTCTTGACTCAGTTTACAATAGATTGAAGATCATTTTTGATATCACCTGCCAATTTGACTTTCTCTTAATAGATTCTTAGTAAAATAATCGCATTATCCTTGAAGCGTTATAGTACGTCCGTTTTAGTAATACCCCAGAAAGACCTAGTGAAGATTGAATTCGGCGCTGATTTCTGTAAAGCAAGAAATGTTAACCAGTTCACCTGATTGAAAGAGCAGTAGCACATAATTTTTTTCATCGAGTTACACCCAAGTAAGGCCGTAAAGCCTCTGAGACGCAAGGTGTTTACTGGCTGTGGAAGCGTTAGAAACAGGAACATTGCTCAAGAGTGAGAACAGTGGAAGAGGAATCAGGAAGACTATAGATAGCGATTGACATTGCATTTAAATTTTTGCAGATTTTGGCTGGAAAGCATGGAGTGAGAAGGGAATTCCACAGGAGAGAAGTGCGAGGAAAGAAACTGTTAGCATAGAATTTGCGGCTACATCTAGCCAGCTCAACTGTAAATTGGTGATAACTCGTCGCCCGTGCAGTACTGTGATTTAATTCAAAAGCTCTAGGTATCATAGTGAAGAGCTCTGAACAGTTACCATGAATGGTTACCATAGAAAAGGCAAAGGGAAGCAACCTTACGAAAGTGACTGAAGCCGAGACACCAGATTGGGGCCAATAATATTACTGATTTTTCTTTGGAGTTTATCAAGGATCTCTACATATATAACTGTTTCCCCTGGCCGTATCTAGCAACAATATACTAAGTATAAACAAATGGTAAACATATAAGAGAAAAACTGTCTCGCACGACACAGTGAACCAAACTTCCTGTTAAATGACCTAGAAATGGATTCAATATAGTCATTCTATGTTAGTCCAAGTAGGCGCATCATGTCACTAACCTGGAGGTGAGCAACTATGCTAATGGAAGTCAGTGTGGGTTTTCTCAGATGATTAACGGAGAGCATTTTAGTTTTGGAAGTGTTGAAGGTCGAATTCCCTCTTGTAATTGCTTCCGGGGATTTATATATTTATCCAACCTAATTCAGTATTAATGATTTTAATTTTTTTTTTTTTTTTATGTTACATATATTTTTCATTTTATTCATTTTTAAACCGTTTCTTGAATATTGGAGTAAATATTTCCTTTTACGGTGACATGTTTGCTTCAAATTTCGTTCTCCCTTTCTTCCTTTTTATTAGTTCTATATTTCATTTATTCCCCTTTCTTTTTCTTTTTTTTTAAAATATACTTCTTTATTTATTTTGGCTATTTAAATATTGTCAATAAAAAAGGGGGAGGGTTTACACTTCTTTCTTCTTTTACTTCTTTTTTGTCCGGGACCTATTGCTATAATCTCGTTATCTTTTTTTCTTTTCTTTCTCTCGTACATTTTTTATTATGTCATTTTTTTTTCTTTCATATTGTGTTCTTTAATATTATATTAAGACTTCATTTTCTTTCTCATTATGTGTGACGTATTCTGTCTTTATTTCTTTCTTGTTTTTTTTTTTTTCACCAAATACATTCTGTTTTTCTTTTCTTTCAACTGCATCTATATTTTCCTTTCTTTCTTTTTTCTTTCTTTCTTTCTTTCTTTCTTTCTTGTTCTTTTCAGCATTTTGAAACATTCTTTTATCATACGCCTTCGTCCCTTTTTCTTTATCTTTGAACTATATCGATATTTTCTTTCTTTCTTTCTTTCTTTCTTTCTTTCTTTTCTTTCTTTCTTTCTTTCTTTCTTTCTTTCTTTCTTTGCCATTAAGTTTTATTCAACTTTTTGTTTTCCGTTCCAACCAGTTTTATTCATTTTCTTTCTTTATTTCTTTCTTCTTTTCCTACTTTCTTTCTCCTTCTTTTTGCTTTCCAGCATTTTAAAACCTTTTCTCATCCAATGACTTTTATTCACTTTCATTTTTCTATAAAATGTATCACTATATTTTTTCTTTCTTTCTCATTATAATTTTATAGCATTGTTTTTTATCATTTCTATTTCCATTAGATTTCACTTCATTTTCTTTCTTTTCATAAAAATTTTAAAGCTTTCCTTAAATTTCTTTGTAAGTTTTTTCTTTCCTTTCTTTTATATACAATTTTATTGATATTTTTTTTTTCATTTGTATTCAGCTTTCCATAGTTTAATTTATTTTTCTTTTTTGCGTACTTCATTTCATTCATGTTTTTCATTTAAGAGATTTTTCTGTTTTTTGGTAAACTTTGTCTCTATTTTCTTTCTTTCTTTCCTGGTTTCTTATTTAATAACATTTTACAGAGCTATTTAATTCTTTCTTTCTTTTTTTTCATTGCCTATCACTTTTATTTATTTCCTTTCTTTCTTTTTTCCATATATTAAGCATTCGTGAAAATTCTTTTTTTAAAATTATTCCTTTCTCCTATTAAATTTTATTAATTTTTCTTTCTTTTTTCTTCCTTTAGCCTTTTCTTTGTTCTTTCTTTCTTTTGCTTTCTTTATTTCGTCCAGCCTTTCTATCATCCACTGGCTTAATTATTATTAATTATTGACTTTCTTTTCAACAGTTTAAAGTTGTCTTTGATAGTCTTTATAAGTTTTGCTTTCCGTTCATTGATCTTTTTTAAAATGTTTTTATTTCCTTTCCAATGTGTTTTTTTTAATTTTCTTTCTTTCTTTCTTTCTTTCTTTCTTTCTTTCTTTCTTTCTTTCTTTCTTTCTTTCTTATAATATCCTGCTTTGCATATTCTTTTTTCTCAGGAAGTGCTGTTCGTTTTTTTCCTTCCTTCCTTCCTTCTTTCCATCCTCTCCTTCCTTCCTTTCTTTCTTCCTTCCTTCCTTCCTTCCTTCCTTCTTTCCCTCCTCTCCTTCCTTCTTTCCCTCCTTCCTTCCTTCCTTCCTTCTTCTTCTTCCTTCCCTTCCTTCCTTCCTTCCTTCCTCCTTCCTTCCTTCCTTCCTTCCTTCCTTCCTTCCTTCCTTCCTCTCCTTCCCCCCTCTTGCCTTCCTCCCTCTTTCCTTCTTTCTTTCTTTCCTTCCTTCCCCTTCCTTCCTTCCTTCCTTTTCTTCCTTCCTCTCCTTCCTTCCTTCCTCTTTCCCTTTCTTTCTTTCCTTTTTCCTTTTTTTTTTTATTTCTGTTTACATTTTTCTCAAACACTATTTCATTTCATTTTTTAACTAGTAGTATATTTTCTTTTTATTTAAAACGTTCTTTATCGTTTCTAGTCTTTTTCCTGTTTTCATTTATGCTGTCTACAAATATCCTTTCTTGTATCTTCTTTCCTTTCATTCTTTCTTTATTTCTTCTTTTCTTTCTCTCGTTTCTTTCAGTCTTTCTTTTTTTCTGTCTTTTTTTCTTTATTCCCTTTGTTCTTTCTTAATTTCTTCTTTTCTTTCTCACGTTTCTTTCTTTCTTTTTCTTCTTCCTTCCTTTCGTTCTTTCTTTATTTCTTCTTTACTTTCTCTCGTTTCTTTTTCCTTTCGTTCTTTCTTTATGTCTTTCTTTCTTTCTTGAACGCTTTATATCTTCAAACCATTCATTAAGCTCTCCATGTTCCTTCCATCACGCATCCCTTTACACCCCGCCCCCTAACTTTTTTTTCAACTCATTCACTCACCTCCAACCCCGCCACCGTACACCTTCAATCTACCCGAATTTCAGCTTAACCCAGCGAAACGTTTCTCTGCTCTTTATCCTTCGTCAATACAATTCCAATGCTAATGCACTTCAATTTAACTCACTATTGCATCTACATTCCGCTCGTCCGCTTACGCACCGCCTTCTCACCGCGCGTTCACTCCCGGAGGGAAGGAGAAACCCACCAACACGATCCGCTTACGTTATCATCTTCTTTAACCTTGCCAATTCTTATTTAAGTGCCTGGAGCTGTTGTTTGTGTTTTGTTGACGAACCTCACGATAAGGCTGATGTATCTCCGCGCCGAAAACAAATTCAGTGATACAGTTTTTCGTGACTGAAGTAGTTATATGAATTGCCACATCAGAGCCATATTGGGTCCGCGTTCGCGCCCCGTTATAAAACCAGACTTCCAAATGTCAATATACAAGGCAGGCAGATACTATTTCACTTCGAATAGCCGTATGCCATCATCTTTTTATCCTAAACTGAAATCTTGCTACGCTATAAAATGGTATACTGTCTTTATATATATATATATATATATATATATATCTGTTGAAACTTGACTAATGCATGGAATAATAATACAACACAAAATGTACTTTGAACAAAATGTATTGAAACAAGAAAGTGTACACAATATTTACATATAGTCTTTTGTATATTCTTGGGAAGACCGTTCCTGGAGAATGTGTTGACTTAGTCGCAGTCGGGCAGAGTCTCTGGATTGAATCTCTTGATTCCTACCCACCCTTGTCTTTCCGGTACCAACCATATTTATATGATCGGTACTCCACTATGCAAATTAGGTGGATCCTACCACAACAATATATATATATATATATATATATATATATATATATAGCTGATATTAGGGGTAAATATACACATACATATGCAAAATATATAAATATATATACATAGGTGCATACACATACATATATATATTTTGAATAAAAAAATTCCAAGAGGATAGAATCAAGGTAGAATTCAATGTCCAGGACAGAGTAAGGATATAATAAAAAGGCTTAAACACTAATATTCCATGGTCATAATTTATTCCATTGGAATCGTAAATACGATCCAATTCATCAGACCTACAAATTCAAAAAGAAAACAGAAAAAACAACTCCGGAAATAAAATTAGAATTTACAGAGAGTGTAAGTATGAGAGTGTGGGACAAATGTTAGAACTAAAGTGAGGGGTAACAGACGAGAGAAGGTGGGAGATTAAACTTTAACAGAGAGAAGTTTTAGAGAGGTGAGTGGAAGAGGTTTAAGTGAGAGAAATATGAATGTTGTCAGATGTTATATATATATAAAACTTTTCAACTGTTAGATTAAGGTTTGAACTGTTGTATCTTAGATATCATTAAAGATATATTACTGGAATTCTCCGAGGTTTCTATAACACTTTGGACTCTACTTTGCGCAATAAGGATTTATAATTAATCTCCAAGCTTAACAGAAGAATCGTGATGAAATCGATCATAAACGAAAATGACATGGTCGTCATTAATTATAACTAAGCTCATGAAGGATTGAAATAAAGTTCAAAAATCTATCTATCTATCTATCTATCTCTCTCTCTCTCTCTCTATATATATATATATATATATATATATATATATATATATATATATATATATATATATGGATGTATGCATTGCTCCAGGATCATTTTTCATCTCATTCAAAATGATCTTCGTCTCTCTAACCTTCTAACTTTCTGTCCTGTAGTAACAACATAGCTCACAGATATTACGTACAATTTCATTTTAAAAACATTTTCCATTGCTATTTGGACTATCATAGCTGAAACTCCTATCTTACGCGCAGCACGTCTTATGGGTTATGTTGGATCTCGTTAGCACTAAGTTGAAATGATGATCGCTATTGTTGTTGTGATCTCCTGAACCACTTTCCCTCTCAACTGTTCCCTCTTTTTTTAAAATTATTCATCGTTCCCTTGATGGCTCTTGAATGGACTTTGAAGATTGGAAGCATTACTGAAAGGCTGAAGGATCTTTTTCCTCTCACCATTGCTCATTTGGGAAGACAATGACACAGAAGTATTTTAACCATTTCTCTTTGTAGCTGAATAACTGAAAGGGTTTTTCAGTGATTCTTACGACAAATGGCGTCATGATGACTAAACGCCTTATATGAAAATCTCGAAAAAAACTCGATTAGTTTACAGTTTTTTTTAGATATTAAACATTTTGTAGTAGAGACAATTATGCTGTTACACGATTTGAACAATTTCGCTGTTACAACCTGTATTCATATATATATATATATATATATATATATATATATATATATATATATGAATATGGTAGTTGCTGGTCATCCAGATCCCTTTGCCCTGTACAGACAGCCTCCCTCTTTGAATTTTTTCATGCTATGACCAAATATTTTTCAAATTTGAATTTTCTCCAAAATGCACGCTGCACACACTTGTTTAACTGTGTCCGATCATATTTCACACACAAATTGCCTTTTCATTTCTAGTAAACAACATTTTTTTCTAATATATATATATATATATATATATATATATATAATATGGTAGTATTTGCTGGTCATCCAGATCCCTTTGCCCTGTACAGACAGCCTCCCTCTTTGAATTTTTCATGCTATGACCAAATCCCCTTTCAAGTTTGAATTTTCTCCAAAATGCACGCTAATTACAAAAAACTTGTTTAACTGTGTTCGATCATATTCTCACGTCACAAATTGCCTTTTCATTCTAGTAAACAACATTCTTCACTCTAATATATATATATATATATATATATATATATATATATATATATATATATATATATATATATATGAATATGGTAGTTGCTGGTCATCCAGATCCCTTTGCCCTGTACAGACAGCCTCCCTCTTTGAATTTTTCATGCTATGACCAAATCCCCTTTCAAGTTTGAATTTTCTCCAAAATGCACGCTGAACACACTTGTTTAACTGTGTTCGATCATATTCTCACACACAAATTGCCTTTTCATTTCTAGTAAACAACATTCTTCACCCTAATATATATATATATATATATATATATAGCATAATGAGAAGCCACGTATACTTTCTTAATATGTATATATAGAAAAAGTTGCTATTATTAAAAGTATATATATATATATATATATATAATATCTTTATTATAATAAATTACAATAAAAAATATATATCGTTACACAAAAAAAAAATCATGTTTCAGTACTAAGATGGTACTTCCTCAGGCAATGGTAGATAACTTGTCATTAAAAATGGTTTATTAGGGAAATGTCAAAACAAATCGTTACTTGTGAAGTTAAACTGTTTGTGGCATAAGGTCAGAATTGAAACTATTTATGGGTATGTCTAGATTAACCAGTTGGTATGAGCGGACTGGCCTTGTTCAGACTGTTGATAACATCAGATAAATCGCTCCTTCCCTGAGACTGTAACTAAGGCCTACACAGCATAAACGAAGTATACTCCACTGGCCAGCTCTGTGCGTGCTAAACAAACGCAAATGTGCCTGATCAGGCGTATTCAACGGGCATTGGCTACCCGCCGTAGTAGACAGGCACACGTGGATACGAGAGGCCAGCCATTATATGTATCTATGTATGTATTAGATAGGAAAATTACTGCTTGGTTTATTTCCATTTCCAACTAATTCTTTCTCTCTCCCCCCCTCTCTCTCTCTCTCTATATATATATATATATATATATATATATATATATATATATATATATTTCTCTTTAGCCTATTCTAAAATTGTTTTTGCTTCGGAGAAACTTCTTTTTTCAGCTTCTTCCCAAACAACATTCACACAATTTACCATATTCGTTCCCGCTTGAGGCTGAAAAACTTCTCCTTAATACGACATTTAATGAACAGAACACAGGCAGGTTTAAGCATCAATTTCATGGATAAACGGTACCGGTTTTCATTTGGAGATTCGTTAATATAGTGTGCGTGTGTGTGTGTGTGTGTGTGTGTGTGTGTGTGTGTGTGTGTGTGTGTGTGTGTGTGTGTGCGCCCAAATATGAGTAGGCGTAATTTGTTGCATTTGCGTCGGTTTTGACTCAAACCTGTGAACAACGTGAACGTTTCAAAGAAAATACAAACGCAGAAAGGAGACTGGACGCTTGAAACTAAACGCAGAATGAGGTAGTTGAAATTTCTGGGTTACATAATGAAGAAAAGTGCTTAAAACTTACGTGCACGTCCATACAGCATTTACGCCTTTCTTGGGAAAGCCGCTGCTATTACAATATGGGATATTTAAAAACAGCAGCGATAAAAAAAAAAAAAAAAACGTCAAGAAAAAGAATGAAGACGGCTATGCTGTTCATCTAGACCTATCAGACGCAAGAAATTAAAACTTTCATATTTGAAGTTATGTGTCCGGTCATATTCATGGTTTCTCTCGATGTTTAATTATAACGGACGAGTGTTAATAGTTTTCCTTCCCTTCCACGGCGTGCTCATACACACACACACACACACATATATATATATATATATATATATATATATATATATATATATATATATATATATATATATATGTATATATATATATATATATATGTAAGCCTTTCACCTCAAGGAAGGCAGGAGTGCTACTAGCACGCTAGTTCGTTACGGAGAGTAAATATGAAAGAAAAAGAGTTGGTGTAGGAGTGATTGAGGAAAGGAAAAAAAAAAGACAGGGATCAAGCTAAAATAAAAAGAGCGATTGACGTTGCATTTAAATCTTTAAAGAGTGTATTTATCAGCGAAGCAAGTGAGAGGTAGGGTGTTACAATGTGAGAAGTAGGAGGAAAGAAACTTGGAGTAGAAGTGGTGGTTACAGTTAATTATTTCAACACTAAATTGGTGGGACCTGGATGCCAATCTAGTAGTACGCTTAAATCCATGTAGTCCGGGCACCTGGGAAAAAAAAGCTCCTTAGATCAGTGGTCATGAAGTTATTTTTAGAAAAGACATAGAAAAGCCACATAACGTCTGCGAGACAGTATCTGAAGTGGATAAACCAATTTAGGACCGATTAGATTACAGCTCCTCATATATATATATATATATATATATATATATATATAAGTTACGAAGAACTTGGTAAACCGAATGGGTAATTCCAAGGAGGATGAAATCCTGAGAGCTCAATGTTAATACAGAGCAAATATTTAATGAAAAAACAGACCACTTTAAGGTACCATTACAATAATTTATTTCACCAAAATCCTTTTTAAAGGACTCCGGATCATCAGGTAACACTTCCAACAACGAAATGAAAGGAAAAATGGGATTCTAATCTATATGTATGTATGTATATATATTTCTCTAGAAAATATCTGACTTCTGTAATGCTTCATTTTGACAAGTGACAGATGGTCTGGAGCTGATCAAAGCCCAAAGACCTCTATGTAGTTTTATGGATGATGTTGTCTTGTAAGACTTTAGCTACTCTGGTTATTTCCAACGTAAATGTTATGATAATCTCCATTCTTTACTTTCACTAATTCAGGCCTTTATATCTAGGAAACACTATGCCATTTCTACGGATCTGAATCACTCTCATTTCCCCCGTCTCTCAAATCTAAATAGAATGTTCTATTCTCATATATTTTTAAACAGGAACTGCGAATGTTGGGAACACACTAACACGAAGACCCTTTCCTTGAATTCATCAATCTTGACTTCTTCCAGTCAAGTGTCATATCATGCCACTTCCACATCCATTCATATTACACACTTCATTCATCATAACGATTTTGAATCTACCTTGAGTAGCTCACGAGCCTTGGGATGGAACTTAGTATTAAAGAAGCTATTATTTACATATATTCAACGATATGTATTTGTTCAAGTCAGATAAGGCAGCCGAATCTCAACATCTTTCCCAGTCGCAAACGACCTCAAACAATGCTCTCGCTCCTCACCATTTTTTATTTTTAGCAGGATTTAAACTTGGTCTATAGGAGATGCTCGAGCGTGTACATGGGGACAGCGTAGTTCAGGACTACACCTACTTAATTTTATCATATTAATTGAATCCATTGTGAGCAAAGAAATTGTTATATAGAAATAAAGTGTCGCTGCCAACACTTGAGTTTGAACATAGATCGCCAGTGAGCAAACACAGGCGATCCCATTATTGAATTAAGTAGACCACGTGACCACAGAGGAAACGCATGTAAGAATTAGCGTGACGTCTAATTGGTCGCTATTTCTAGACTATCCTCTATATTATACTGATTGCCATTTCTAGTCTAGCCTCTATTACTCTTCGAATCGCCATTTCTATTCTATCCTCTATCACTTTTCGGATAACCATTTCTATTCTCCATACTATTTACAATACTATCACTAATTACTTGACATGTAATCGATCGCAATTTCTAGTCTATCCTCTATTACTATGCGGATCACTATTTCTACTTTGTCCTCTATTACTATACGGATCGCTATTCTCTATACTATTTTTTCTATTTGAATCACTTTACGGTTTATTAGTTGGTGGATACTTTTCGAGCGAGTAATATCTAGCAGTATTGTTCAACAGCGTTACTATAGTTGTACCTGCGATTACAAAGTCTCTACTACAACGAGCATTACAAAAGTGACAACGAGTATTCATTGACATTAAACAAGTGACAACGACTCTTCGTCGACATCACAAAATAAATTGATAACGTATTATAAACAAACAAAGCAATAGCAATGCTAGACTAGAAGGCGTAGTCCCAGTTTTCATTTCCTCATTATAGGCATTATTGAATCCGTAATATAGTAACACCTTAATACACCAACAGAATAATATTACTAACAGAAAGGAACGACAAACATGCAGGGTTCGCAAATATATTGGTTATACTGATATATACATCCTTATCACTCTTTTGTCCCACGCAAAGAAACTATAACTTATGTATACAACAAGCAGTGTAAAATGGACAAAAAAAGACAGAGGACCTTACTTGTAATATTTCCCAACGGGAAAGAGGGCAGGTAGGTGGTATCTCATGTTTCTGAGAAGACAGGTGGGTTTCTCTTCACGCTACCGTTGTGGGCATACGACGTCCGACTTTTCTGCGGGTTAGATAGCAAATAGAGTCCATCTTCTCCGCAAGTTATATAGCAACAGGCGTGATAAATAGCAACAGTTGATCCTTGTCATTTCGCCTTACCGAAATGGAGATAATTCTCTTTAGAATCGCTAGCGATCTCCACAAGCGTCTGCTACGAATAGACTCTCGGAAAATAATAATCTCGGAGAATAATAAGCCTCTGCGAAGTCTACATTTGATGGTGTCAAATCCCACATTAGATAGCAGCACCAAAAACTCTTAGAAGAGCATTGCCGCCAGGTTATTATTTTCGTGCATTGATTTAATCCCAAACAGGGAAGCTGAGTAAGAGCATACTCCAGAATCACTTAAATTATGCTGTAATGCAATCATCTTAACTGAGGAGGCCGTGTAGCGATGAGGGAAAGGGATCGAATTCCAAATGCTCTACTATTCAACGAAAGTTTATCCGATATACGCAGCAGAGGGACATTAGAGGAAACATTTTCGGCATTTTAATGCATTGAATCACGATCACAACTCCCATAAGTCGTAGGTACACCATACACAGAAGTGTCTTGCCCTTTTCCATCGTAGACGTTGCCAGGCTATAGAACACATTCTGTCTTGCCTTGTTTTCCTCTCAGGTTGTTTTAGAATTCGTAGACTGGTTGCCATCAAGGCTATAGAACCCATTCTGTCTTGTTATCCAGGAGAAGTGGTGTGTCAGGAGAAGTGGTGTGTTTAGAATTCAGAGTTTTTCCCTTCGTAGAGATAGAACCCATTCCTGAGTGGTGTGTCCAAATCTCCCAGGTTGTTTAGAATTCAGAGTTTTCCTTCTTGTAGACTAGTTTGCCATCAAAGGCTATAGAACCCATTCTGTCTTGTTATCCGCAGGAGAAGTGGTGTGTCTTGCGTAAGATAGCCTGACGGAGCCCAAATCTCCCCAGGTTGTTTAGAATTCAGAGTTTTCCTTCTTGTAGACTGGTTGCCATCAAAGGCTATAGAACCCATTCTGTCTTACTATCCGCAAGAGAAGTGGTGTGTCTTGCGTAAGATAGCCTGACGGAGCCCAAATCTCCCCAGGTTGTTTAGAATTCAGAGTTTTCCTTCTTGTAGACTGGTTGCCATCAAATAGCTCTTGAACCCATTCTGTCTTAAGATATCCGCAGGAGAAAGTTTTCCTTCTTGGTGTGCCATCTTAGAACCCATTCTGTAAGATAGCCTGACGGAGCCCAAATCTCCCCAGGTTGTTTAGAATTCAGAGTTTTCCTTCTCGTAGACTGGTTGCCATCAAAGGCTATAGAACCCATTCTGTCTTGTTATCCGCAGGAGAAGTGGTGTGTCTTGCGTAAGATAGCCTGACGGAGCCCAAATCTCCCCAGGTTGTTTAGAATTCAGAGTTTTCCTTTTCGTAGACTGGTTGCCATCCAAGGCTATAGAACCCAGTCTGTCCTGCTATTTACCCATAGCTGAGGGGAAAGAAAAATGGTTTTATACTTTTCTCAAGAATATTAGCACGCAAGTGAATGTAATGACAGTAATTCGAACTCGGCTCTCCATTTTCTCAATTCCTCCATTGACTACAACCACGATAGTGATACGCAACACCAGTTCTGTTTCGAAACGTTTGTTGTGAGAAGAAACACGCCTTTTATTAATAAGTAAAACTTACCTCCTTTTCTCATGTGAATCAGCCCTCCGGAGAAGCATAAATATCTATCTATCTATCTATCTATCTATCTATCTATCTATCTATCTATCTATCTTGTTATCCGTCAGTTCATATGCACCTATTGTCTTAGAAGGAGTAAGCGATTTTATCAACAGGAAGTTCGATTATCAATGGATATTCGTAAATATCACACAGCGCTCGTTACTAAATTAAAACCGATGTAATTAGGCGACCGGAAGTAATATTCGTATTCACCAAAACACAGACACACGTTTAAAATAATTATAAATATATTATTTTAAAACCGTCCATCATCCAATAAATATAATTTAATTCAATTTTCTTCTGTTTTCAAATGCCGTGCCTGTATCAACACGTTTTTGCGCACCCACCCCTGCGATTCTGTGGACATCAATCACTTATGGATTTAATATATTTTAAACATTTTATTCGATGTAAACAATTGACAAGAGACGCCTAGAACACATGGTTTACAAGCGACCTCCCGATGTTCATTTTTTACTCATGTGTTTTATTCTTATCGGGTGTTAAGCTAAAGTAGACGAAACTATCTTAAAATTAAGAAATGCTTTTTAAATGTTTAAAGCCTTCTGGGATGAAACTCGTTTCGTATTCGATCACCGAAAATAAATCGACTTTCGTGAACAGAAAATATGAAAATGGATACCACTTGTAAATCGTGGAGAAAAGAATGATATGATCAAAATGTAGATTTTTTACACTACCTTAAATAAAAGGGTGAGAAGAAAACCCCTATTAATACGAGAAAGAGCGATAACAATTAGTGCCCTCGAGAAATTTATTTATTTTGGTAGAAATCTATTTTAATAGAAAGAATTTAGAAATTTCAACTTCTTTGTTCAATGAATGTCGAATTTTTCTTTATTTGGAATATTAAATCTCACCACTGGTATATATATATATATATATATATATATATATATATATATATATATATATATATATATATATATATATATATATATATATGTATGTGTGTGTGTGTGTGTGTGTGCCCGCGTGTGTGTGTGTGTGTGTGTATTGACAAAGTTACTGCGGTTAAGTTTTAATTTAATTTTTTGTGTTTTTATAATTTTCTTCACTTCTGGACATAAATTATATAGAAATTGTCCGAGTGTCCCGTATGTACAAATGCATTCGGCTATACTTTTAGCGATTATCAATGTTGATATTATTTTTCTTTTTTAATTGACTGCATAGAATGTTATGTATGTATCTAGAGTTATCGCTATGTTTTATTTTCCAAACACGCTCAGCACATTGTGGCCGTGTTCATAGTTGATGTTATGCAGTGATTTTTAAAAAAGTAATAATGCTTCCATTATTTGCATCCTTTCTTTTATATTTGTATATTGCGGATGGAGTTTGGTAGAAGGTCTCCATGTGTATTTAAATGAGACCTAATTGGGCTATAGTGAAAGTAACGCGAGTCTACTTGTCAGACATATTGTAATATATCTAATATAACTATTTATGAATTTGCTTTGATCACGAACACAGAATTCGTAAATAATATTGGTTCTCTGTAATTTGGATCTTGATGGCGAGTTATTGATGATGACGATGATGATGATTATGATGATAGGAATTCTAAATTGCTCATAGTAGTTAATTAATTTAACTCTCTTGTTTTGTCTACTGGTGTTGTATATTTCTTTATACAGCTTCTAAGGTACGATTCATACATTTATGTGCATGAAGTTTTGAGTGATTAATTCAATAAATCCACTAAAACTTTCAATCACTTTAATGATTACACCCACGCACAAACATATAATATATATATATATATATATATATAGTTTGTGTCTTAATTTTAAAAGCATATATAGAAATTCCATTGTAAGTTATTTACTAGAAGAAAACCTTGCGATTATTTCTTTTCCAGTATTTAAAATTAGGAAATACCCCTGAATACTTACGGTCAAGTCGTAGTAAGATAATTATTTCATAGCTGATCACCCTATATAAGTCCATATTGAGCTCAACACGGCAGCAACTGGCAAACACTTTGGAACCTCGAGCATTTGCAAGCGATTGTAGCCTGTCACTAGATAAGGTTCTTATTTAGAATTAGTAAAAATCAGTAAATAAAAAGAAAAATCAGGAATGAAAATAATAGGAGTGTTATATTTTAGACACATTGGCATCATAGGTTTGAAACGGCTGATTACGCAGATGGGTGACCACTTAGTAACAAGGGGGGGGGCGATCTAACAACAGTAAGACTTGAGTCAGATTAGCCGGAGCTCAGTAAATTAAAAAAAAAAAACAAAAAAAAACGAATTGATTCTTTGATCCCAAATTATCTATTTAGAATTATGTTAGTTTTATTGGATATGACTTGATCATTTAATCGAATGAAGGCTCATTTTTATGATACTCACTCACACGCACGCACGCACGCTCACACACATCCACGCACACATCCCACACACACACACACACACACACACACACACACACATACATATATATTTTTCTGTAGTTTATTGCTACCAGCAAGCAGAAATATTTCTTCTCCCGATGATGGCCATTTTGGCCGAAACTATTCGAGGAATCTAAATGAAATAATAATAAAAAAAAAACGAAAGAATATTAATCTACAACCCAGTGTGTCTGAAGATTTTAATTTTTTAATATTTTTTATTGTTCAATATATATATATATATATATATATATATATATATATATATATATATATATATAATTAATTGAGACAGTGAAAAATCTCCACAGTCGATAAAAAGCCATCAGATCATATTTCTATATAAGGAGTGCAAATGTAGGTATATATCTAAAAAGAAAATCAAACGTGTCCACAAATTTTATTGCGGTTGGTTGATTTTATTGAGCGGCATATCAATCTCGATCGGTTATTTAATGCTGAAACCTAAGTATTTTGTACGTAAATTTATTCTTTCACCTTCAGATATATTTTTTACCGGATTGTAATACTTTCAGAGTAGAACTATGATTTTTTTCTCCCAATTGGGTGTCACTAAATGTGTTGGATCCAGAGATCAAATACTTCCAACTAGGAGAATGTTAACTTAAATACTTTTATTAATGTCGTCATGTAATCACCATCTACCAGGGGTCGCGCTCCTCAATGGGGGGCCGTTTCAAACACGAAAGAGAACACGTCAACATCGCTTGATGGTAAAAAGAAAAAAACTTTCACTATCTCTTATTTGCACGCTATCTCAGCCAAACAAAATCGACTTCCTTATTATGTCTTAAATGTGGCCCAGAACGTTAAACTCCGGAAGTCGGAGTTGAAATACACTTCCTCTAAAAAATAATAGTCTGCTTAACTATTATTTAACATGTCATTTTATTTTAAAAAATGCACCCTTCATTATTGTTTGGATGTTAATTATTTGCCCATAGTTGGGACCGCAACAAGTACTACCACCCCGGGTCAGGGTGATCCTGGGATCGACAACAGTTGAAAAGTGGTCAATTGATTCTTAACGTTTTATTTTTCTTTTAAATAAAAAAAAAACATTATGAGCGCTATAATTTTTAAAACATATATAAACATAAGCAGACAACGTGTGGTTTGGTAGAAGGTGAGAGGGAGGTGGAGGAAGAAGAGGAGGAGAAAAGCAAGTGTATTGGAAATGTGTCGGTGAGGAGTGTTAAATAAAATATACATACTTTCTTTTCATCCCACTTCATATGAACTGAAATGTTTCAGATATTATTATGATTGCTGTAAGCTTTTGCATTTCTTAAAACTTTTCCAGTTTACAATCGGATCTTTTTACTTTTTCCTTTAATTTCCACACTTTTCTGAGATTTACTAACTTAAAAGATCGCAACCCATCTTTTTGTTATTTAAAAATATAGCTTTTGTAAATTTTTTATTAAAAAATAGAGCATTAGGAAATCAGTTGACCGATAACGTCTGAAGAACCTAAAGGTTGGAACCAGGGTAAGTGGAATCGGCTATCTCCCAATTCCCTATACTGAAAAGCTCTTTATGTTAATTTTTTATCATTTCTTTATGTGCATTGAGCATTTTTTTTAATATTGCTGTTTCCTGGCAAGGAGTCACTAAAGATGAAATTCAATAGATTGAAGGAAACAAAACTCTCCTGAGCGGAAATAACAATAAAGACCGTCCCAGTAAGTATTTGATACTCCTTATTATACTCTATCTTTACAAGAGCCAGATCAGACCAAAAATAGAGTATGGCAACCATATCTGAACTGGAGCTGCGCCATTTTAAATTCTCTGTTTTGTTCGAATTCAACAACGTCTACACTTCTTTGTAGATGATAAATTATTTTCCACCCTACAACCACTTTCCCACAGACGAAATGTTGCGATCCTCTTCCTGCGCAATCGCTTTTAACGTGGCATATATTCTAACACGCTAAATTCTTTAATCCCGCCACCCAGGATCTTTGCAACTGGAACCAGCCATGCCACGTACACAAGTGTGAATCATCCATATCCCCTTCGTTTTCCTATACTGAGAAGAAAGTTTCATTCGGAACGGTACTTCACAAGAACCGCTGCTTTGTGGAACAGTCTACAATATCAACCTCTTCATGTCTAGAATTAAGCTCTATCTTTCCTGTACCGGCCAAGGAACTTCACTTCTTGCCGTATCTTACGCTTATTATACAACTTAACACATTAATCCTCTATCTTGAGTGGTTGTTAGGCCTTGTATTGGGTGGACATTAGTATAAAACATAAGACAAGATCCAGGGAGAAAGACGAGGATGACTGATGCTGCATTAATATTTTTGAAAATTGTATTTGACAGGAAATCCAGAAGTTGGAAGGCGATAAGTCCAAGAAAAAAATCTATTAGAACAGAACTGACGAGATGAAATTTAGTAGTTTCAACAATCAAATGATGCGATCTGACTTCTAATCTACTGCGACTCTTAAATACCTGAAGTCACGCTACCAAAAATAGAACTCATTCAAACGGGAAAATATTTGTATAAAATGTGTTATATAAGAATAAAATGTCTCTGTCGACACTTGAGTTTGAACATAGAACGCCAGAGAGTAAACACAGGCGATCCTATTATTGAATTAAGGGGATCATGTGTCCATAGAGGAAACGCATATACCGGAAGTCGCGTGGCATTTGATTGATCTGCACTTCTATTCAATCCTCTATTACTATACGGACCGTTACTCTTTACTCTATTC